ATGACGAGTGCAACATTTTTGCATCACTAAACTATAAACAGCACATTGGGTCACAGAAAAAAATGTTGAGTTTGTTGAAATGTTGTATTTAAGTGCATAAGTGGCAAAAACCTTAGTTTACAACTAAAACTAAATTCAAGTAAATCAGTAGATAGCATCTTGTGCACAAAAACTCAAACATCTAATACTAAAGTTGCTGCTCAGTCTTCCCATTTGTTTAAAATACAGACTCATCGCTGCTTTAGGTGGCTGGTTGTATCATATGTTGCAAATGTGGACTCTTTTTTCTTGTTCAGTGAGCAAAAGACATGCAGAACAAGTCCACTGATTACACCACGTGTTAGGTTCAAAGTGTAAATGCTTCATGTTGTCCAACTATTCTGTGAGGATCAACACCTTCACAGCAAAGAGCAGCTCAACAAAGTTTATGCTGCAACTACAAAGTCATGGAGGTTATACTGTAGTTGTATGAACACCGCCTCATGCACCGACCTACAGTGATGCCGCATGGACATCTAAGATTTGCATAAAGTGTTTCATCTGTCACAAAGTTTGAATCAACTTTGAGCTCAAGAAAACAGAAGATTAAAACAATCTACCTGAACCAAAGAAACTCAGACATCCCTCTTCCAAAGCACTCCCAGCCCAAAGAGGATGTATTTATTAACCTTTTATTTTGGTTGAAGCAAATGTCCGCTCGTCCTGAGCCTGGCTCTGCTGGAGGTTTCTTCCTGTAAAAAGAGAGTTTTTCCTTTCCACTGTCACCTTTGTGCTTGCTCAGGATGGAAGACTGCAACAAAATGAAGATTCAACACAGTCTGCTGGCTCCTTAGATAAATAACTTTTACTAATTGTTTTTTGTTTTTTATTATGTATGTGGTTGATTCTGTTCGGTGCCCTGAGATCATTTCTGTTGTGACTTGGCGCTTTAGAAAGAAACTGCATTGAATTGAAATGAATTTGACCAAGCAAATCCCATTAAGATCCAGATCTATTTTCCAGGGGAGGCCTGGGCCTCCCTCCAGAGAGATCTGGGTCTCATCCCAGTGGAATATTCCCCCAGAGAAAAGCGTCTGAGAAGCATCCTAAGCAGCAGATGCCTGAAGCACTTCAGTTGACGCCTTATGATGCAGAGAAGCAGCGGCTCTACTCCAGTGTGCCCCATAAAATAGAGCCATCAGCCTATCTCTAAGGAAGAGCCCAGTGACCGTTTACAGGAAGCTCATGTCAGCCCCTTGTGTTCATGATACATCTGAGCATAGACAGGCTTTGAAACATTTATACATCTAACCAGAAATTATTAATTTTAGTGCACAAATCTAATTGAAACCAAACAGAAGAGACGAGTAAAACATTTTTGTAACGTCACAAAACAAATGAGTGCAGGGGACAAACGACTCGGTCTCACAGATTTGCAAACATTTAAAATATTCATTTTTAAAATTACACAACAATACAGCCGTCAGAGAGAAAAGCAAAATTATGGATTGGATTTGGATTTTGCGAGCTAAACATAGAAACCTTGAGTGAGCTCCAGGATTTGCCTCCCACTCTCGCTGCCTGAGGACACTCATTGCTGCGCTCAGTTATCCAGGCATCTTTCTCCATCACTGCGTGTATTTTTGTTTTGAATTATGTTTGTACATGATAGATATCAAATCCCACATGAAGTGTGAATCTAAACACCAGCTGCCTACTGTGGGATTTCTGTGTTTTGTTAAATATTTATAATTCAAAATGATGCTGTTTTCTTTTTCTTTCAAACTCATAAGTACAACCTGTGGTGGTCCTTGGATACATGTAGACAGTTTTTCCAGGACTCTAATCCATCTTCACTTGTTCTGCTTTGTTCTGTTGCTGCAGCTAGATAATAGCTGTAGTGTTGAAATGGGGAACCGTGTTGGACCAGGCCAAAGCAAAGGACAGCTCTCTGGGGCATCAGGGCTTGTTTCACATTGCTTCTCCTTTAATAGAGAGGGAGTGATCTTGTTAGAGAAGCCTGAGGGTATGAACCTTACCTGTTTGCAGCCTTCTCAACCTGTCCGATAAATAATGCAGGTTCAAATGATGCAAAGACGGGGCCGGTTTTAGTCACAGCACACTAAATGTAGAAGCAAAGCAATTTTGAGGGAAAAGATGTTTTGAGTTGTAGAGTTGCTTGCTCAGATGGTAGAAACTGCAAACTGGTAGGACAGTGGTGTGAAAATGTAAAAAGTAGGAGTTTTTGACAAATTAATTTTGGTGCACTAAGCATCTTTTGGGGTTTTTTTTCATTGACTTCTCAACAGTTTTTCATTTTTTTTCTATTTTTACTAATATTTTTAACCCGTTTTCAACCATTTGTCGTAATTTGTAAGGATATAACTTTTGTGCACAGCTAAGAGGTGGAGTGTCTCTGAGATGGCTTCAGATTGCATCACTGCACTACACTAGTGGGTTCAAGTTCAAGTAAACTTTATTGTCATTACCATCTCATGTGGTACATGAGGTGGAACAAAATTATGTACTCAGTTTGTATACTAGTAAGAAGTACTGTGGCATTGATAAAGAGCAGCTCCTCCAAGTGTGAGACCATGATTTTAACATTAAACGGTGGATTGACATCTCCATCTATGTGTGAGCAGAAAAGTTCAAGCATTTTGAAATCTTGTTCCCGAGTGGCGGTAGACAGTAGCAGGAGATTGATAAGTGGACTGGAGTGATGCTGATGCTGTAGGCAAATGGGGAAATTCTCAATTTAACAGTTGCTTTTTGCTCCAGCCATCACATACATTCATGAACAATGAGTAATAACCAAAACAATGAGGTTGTGAACACAATCGGCTGAAAGGATCTTTCAGTGAAATGCTGGACTTAACCTAAGGGTAAGGTGATGAGATTGGCAACTCAAAAGAAGCTTAAAATAGAGATGCTGCTTCTCTGCTGCTTCTTGGTTTGGACATTTGGTAAAGATGTCTTCTGGATACATTCCAAGGGAAGGAGTTCAGACATGTCCCACTGGGAGGAGACCTTACAGCTGACCCAGAACTCACTGGAGAGATTATATCTCACATCTGTTCTTGGAACATCTTGTTGCTCTAGTGGATGAGCTGGAGAAGATAGCTGGAAAAATAATGCTGGATGCTCATAGATTGCTGTTGCCTCCCTGACCTGGTACTGGAAAATTGGTGGATGGATGGATGGATGCATTTTTGTCTCATTGTCCACATAGAGCACATCTTGAAAACATCCCTGCAGATATTTCCATTTTCTAACAATGCTGTGGGTGTGTGTTTGCATCTAAATATGTGCAAATGTAACACTGTTGCAGAATTTACAACTACTTTGGAAAAAAACTGTGTATTCAATGTGAAAAGCAGCTGGATGTGGGTGTGTTTGTGTGCGTGAAGTGGGAGGCTGAGAGTGTTTTGGAGTGTCGGTGCGGTCCATTCCATTTTCTTCTGTGTGAGCCATTAGCAGAAGATGCTGACTGAGGAAAATATACACAATGAAGCAAAGCCTGCACTTCTGATTAAAGATAATATTTAAGGTTTGTGTTTCTTATAGTTAAGTTTTATATAAAATGCTTGGAGAGCATTCACTTTGTTTCTGAAATATTCTGAGACAGCTGCATGTGTGTACGTGCGTGCGAGGGAATTAAAAGGCCCCCGGACGGTGGTGAGACAGAGTGTGATAGGGATCAGTTTCAGATGAACTGCAGGCTCGCAGCAGGAAGGTCGAGTTATCTCGTGACCCCCTGCTTGGTCACATATCACAGTATGAAAAACTGCGACGCTCGCGCACCACACAGCAGTGAAGAGAGCAGCGCGGGTCGGGCCGTGCGCTGACGTGCTTTATGGCCGAGCATATTCGCTGAGGTCTCCCTCCACACTGCAGTGTCAGTAACCAGATGAAGACTGGCACAGCCCCCGAGTCCTGCCTCCCACATATGGCTTCCACATATGTCCTGTTGTCGACTTTTGGATCCCCCCCCCCACACACACACACACCCCCAGGTCAGATGTAGGTCAGCCATGGAGAGCTCGATCACTTTTCAGCTCTGCTCCTGAACTGTAATGCTAACCCTCACGCTCAGACAGCAAGGCCCTGGGGACTTGTGTGAATTTACATCACTGTTCCTTTACTTGACCCGTCCAGCAGTTTGACACATTCATAGTCTTCCAAACAAACACAACATCTCAAGTGCACACACATTAGCTCTCGTAGCCCTTTGCCCTCCCAGTAGACCTTCTTTTGACAGACATATGACCTTGACTTTCCCACTCTTGGGTTATTTTTTAGAGCCTGCCTGCTCTTTGGGACTGTCACTACCTGAATAGACAGATAAATGTTTGGGTGGACGAGAATGGACATATAATAGAGACATCAGCTTTGATGGTTGACGGGGGAGGGCTCTGCGACATCTGACATCATAGACACGTCTCAGAATCAGGAAACCCACACTGCTTTTGTTTGGGTTTCTGTACTGGTTTCATGTTTGGCTAAAAAAGACAAATCACCCAGTTTGGATGCGGGAGGGTCGTATGACTCGTAGTTCATTAGAATGGCGTTCAGCTGTTTTTGGAGTGAGGTAGTCTGGACCTGAAGTTCAAAGCTCTGCTTAAGGAACTCATTCATCAGGAGAAGGAAAATAGAGCTAAGGTTTCACAAAGATTTAATTACATCAGCAATTAATTCCTCACCGTTTTTGTAATCGAATAAACTGCAAGAAATTGTAGACGACTAACATTTACCTCACACTGTGAAGCATTTGGCACCATATTTGATTATTACAAATATATTTAAAACAATTGAAAAATTCCTTATTTTCTGTCCCTATTTCCACGCTGAATCTCCACTGATCTGAAACTCTGAGTCGATATGTGAGAACGATGACAAATCTGGTTTGACTCAGTCTGTCACTCCTGTCAATCACTGCTTGTCTTGTTTTCCAAATTCTGCTGATATAAATAGCTCCACCTGACCTGCTTCTCTTTTGTTTTGTTTTTTCTCCTTCTCAGATTCGTGTCGATGGGCCTCCTCACGGCGGTGTCCAGTACGAGACGTTGCCGGTTATAAAGGACGGCAGCCCCGTCCTCAGAGACATGGCCTTTTCTCTCGACCGCAACTTCCTCTACGTCATGTCTGAGCGACAGGTAGGGTGATGCATGCTGCTCAAACCTGTGGTTTCTTATTATGCAGGAACCTTGACAGGAGAATAGATAGTTTTAATGTGCTGTTGTGTGTGTGCGTATGTAGATGCTTAAATGTCAAGAAAAAGTGAGGGGACGTGCACGAGATGGCTCACCACTGTGCATCACCAAATCCACCAGCTACCATTAGCTATAAATAACCCGGGTGGCGCAGCGGGTTTGGGGGTGGGGGGGATGCATTCTGACAGCGTTTGATAATGAAGGAGAACAATGAGGGCAGGAACAAAGAAAGAAATGGAGAGACAAGAAAAAGGTTAGGTAGAGTGAGAGAGATGAAGGTGCAGGGTAAGAGGACAAGTAATGTGAAAAAGAGGGACAGCTGGAGGAGTTCGTGACTCGGAGAGAAGGGAGGCTGAGAGACCAGAGTGCAAGGTCATCCTTTCTCACTCCTAATGAAGTGACACAGCGTTGCAGTGGGGGGGGTGGGGGGGTCAGGAGCAGCTGATAGCCATCGATGCAGCTGATGTGAGGCGCAGGTAGGAGGGACGCTGCTGGACAAGGGGTGGAGAGGGACACAAGGACAGAGCGGAGGTCAGGTCAATGGAAGAAGAAGTAGCTGGAGAAAATAAACAGGTTGGCATAAGGAGGAGACGTGTGGCGGGAAAAGAAGCAGCTGCAGGGGAGCGTGGCAGCGAGCAGCAGCTCTGGAGACAGACGACGTGCGAGGCTGTCAGTGTCAAGTTATAAATGTCCATCCTCTCTCCTTATCTGTTCTTTTAACACGCCAACGACCGGTCGTTTACAGCTTTCAGGTCCGTTCTCTTCATATGGGACTGACTCAGAGGTGTCCGCTGCAGAGAGGATGACTCAGGAAGAGCAAACAGATTTTATGAAATCCACAGTTTTGTTTTAGGGCCTTCAAAGTGTGACTGTGACATTGAGCAATGTGTGTTTGATTTGTTTCATTTCACTCCAAACATCAAAACAAATGAAAAGCTGCTCAGTTGTAGTCGGCCATGTACCGGCGGTGGAGAGAGAAATAAATCTGTCAAATAAACATACGAGATCGTCCAGCGAGAGCTCACTCCTTCAGACACAATCAGACGTCCCTCCAACAGAGACATTAGTTCAGATTTGAGATCTCTAAGAATTTATCAGTAACGAACCGTCAGGGCCTGCAGGGTATTCAGAGAAGATCATTTTAGTTCAATCATTTTCATGTTCTGTTGTAAAATGAGCTTGTTTTCACGTCTTCCATGCGAGTCCTGAGTGTCAGAACATTTTTTGATTTGTGGGAAAAACAAACATTTTGCATGCAGTTCTTCTCATTAAGATATTCAACATCTGTGTCGGAATCCCCAGAACAAAACAACAAATGAAAGTCCAGTAAATGAAAATGGAAGCATTTCCAAGCCCTTTCTAAGACGACCACTGAATAAAATTAAACGTCTAGCATTCCGTAAAGAAATTCGTATCATCCTCCGCCTTTCATGTCAGAGCTTGAATCCAAGATGGCCGCCACTGACACACCTTGAGACTTGTTGTTATGTGTTGAAGATGACTCAGCTTCTACTTTTATAAATGTCACAGTTATCTATCATCCTGTGAGACATGGCAGTTTTGGTGTTGACAAAGGTAGCTCAGCTGTGGCAGCCATCTTGAAATGAATTAACTTCAAATACCATTCAGTCATAGACATTCACTGATAAATCTCTGAATGTTTCATTGAAATCCGTCCAATGGTTCACGGGATAATTTGCTAACAGGGAATGAAGCACAATGAAGAGCACTCAATCTGGGTTGTGGATGATCCTCAGCTACTACCACACCAAATTATATAGTAATCTCTGTGAAACTGACTGAGTTATAACCCTGTATGTGTTGGCATTAATTAGCTGTGCTGGCCATCTTGAATAGAGATGACTCCAAAATGTAACCAGTTGTAGATGTACAGTGTGTACATGTAAATGATCTAAAGTAATCTAAAAAAGTTAAATCTGGTCCTCTGGACATTCAAAAAAACAAAACAAAGCAAAACAACAAAAAAATGTAGAAACGTTTCGTCTCTCATCCGAGAGACTTCTTCAAAGCGTCCAGAGGACCAGATTGAACTTTTTTAGATTTTTCTACCTGGATTATTGAGCATGTATCAGGATATCTAAAGTAATCATTCAGTGATTACTTTCTAAGAGTTTAATTTCAGTGGTCCAGTGGGTGAGATATTTTGCTCACAGACAAACAGGATTGATACCAACTAGATAGATATCAAGTAAACATCCAGAAGTCATCCTGGCATCTACAACTCAACAACTTTTAGAGTCAAACCAGTTAAAGATGGCTGCTACAGCCAATTAACAACAACCAACACAAAAATATCTGTGACTTAAGTTCACAGATATTAGGCCAACATGTGGTGTGGTAGTAGCTGGGAATCGCTCACAACACATGCTCTGAGAACGAACAGATGCTGCAAAATACTGCATGTGATTGTGCACAATGTTCTGTTGAAGATTTGACCCAAACAGCTAAAACTTCAGTATTTCTCAACAAATGATCATTTGAGTTTAAAACTCTGAGCAGTGGGTAATATGCATTCCTTCAGGGAATGTAGGTCTTTTCATTTTTTTACTGGTATTCCTGCTCTCTTTTTACAACAGGTGCTAATGTCCTCTTGGCTCTTTGAACTTCTTCATACTGTATTAGTGACATTGTGCCCACAGTCTCCAGTCTTCCTACCAGTACTCTATAGATCTCTTTGGCCCTGTCTGGGCAGCATGGGGGCATGAAGAAGCATAAGACAAAGTCCTTTGCAGCAGATTTGTCTTCAGTTACATGTTCCAGACCATGTATTTTAGCTTGGTCTGCGATGAAGCAAGGTGCGTTTAAAGTTTAACCTTCTCTGTTTGAGTGTAATTGTATTATGAGCTATCTGTAATTAAATATTAGTAGTCTGTGTGTTTGTGCTGTCAGTTTACAACACATTCATGTATGAATGTTGCTTCAGAGCTTAAACAGTTCGACATGTCTCATCCATGTTCTGCACAAACACAGTGCAGAAACATGACAGCAAACTTCCTCCAGAAGTTAAGAAGAGTTGGTTCTGAGTCTAAAACAACTCTGCCATGTTTACTAAAATCCTTTATTCGTGCCTTGTCCATAGATGAAACGAGCTTTTGATGTTAAGCCCCAAACTGCTAGTCATCTGAATGAGGAGTTGTGTTGGTGAATATTATTAGTATTCAGTTTGTCGACTCCTCGGCCTCTCCAGGGGTTGTGGAGGATCGAAGCAGGCAAACACACACATACAAAAAATGTGTGCAGCTTCTTTGGAGGTGTTGCCTTGAATGTTCATTGCTGCTGATCCAAAGTCAAGTCCGACAGCTCGATGGGCTGTGGCTTCTGTTTGCTCACAGAAATGATCCTCAGTGTTTAATTGCTTGATCTGAACGACTTCTTAAGAAAAGCTGGAACGTATTAAAGATACTTGATGTTATCCACGACGCACTGCTCAGAAGCCACCTTCAACAAGTCATATTGCCCTCAGTGTGAGACATCTATTTGACCTTTAGCTCAACATGAGCTTAAATGTCACCTCGAGTCATACATGCAGCCTATCACAAGATATATCTTGTCTAAGCTCCGTTTGTTCCCATGTGTCTGACTGATGTAGTCTGTGGCCAAGCACATGGTGTTAGGAGACGGCGAGAACAAAGGCGGGATGATATCAAACAGGAACCGGAGCGCGTTTGGCTCCAGTTGCATTTCCGACTTAGAATAACAAAGAAGCTCTGTGTTTGGCACAGTGGGGAAAGAGAGAGAACAGAGTGAACCGAGGGGAGGCAGACGCTGGATAACAGAAATCACGAAAGGGAATGTGATATTTGTAACATAAGGCCCTCACACCTGGCAGTGTTAGCGATGAGAACGGTAGGATTTCAGATATACAATCATAAAATCAGCCATGCAAAACACATGCCCTCTTAACAATTATTTACATAGGGTAGTGATATGCACTCACTCCCACAACCACACAGGCTCAGAGAGTTCATCTTTGACAGTTACACACGCAAGCAAGCATCTGTCACCCGTTAATGTTTCTGTTTGCTCTGGATGCATTTCAACCTCGTGCCAACATAAAACATTTAGACTGCACCAGTTCAACGACCGTCTTCAGGTTACACCTCCGTTAATCCAGGACTTTCTCTTCATATCTTTAACTACTTCCTCTCACTCTCATATATCACCACTCATTTCCCCTTTGAGCGTGGTTATTAGCTTCCTGTTTTATATGTGAGCCGTCCTGCTGCCATGTTAAACTGTGCCTTTGTTTAGTAAATGTAATGACAAAAGCAGTAATATTAATGATGGGCTGAGGCTGGCTCAGCACGAAGGCAGCACAGTGGAACTGATGAAAAGACCCGGCTCGCTTACCTTCTCTTCTCCGGTAGTATTTGTGTGTTTGAGTGTTCCTTCTCCTGCAGGGTGCTGTATCATTGCTGACAGCTCTGACACACATAAGAGAAGTACAGTTTTATCTCAAAATGTATGCTCAGTATACAGTGTGTATATAGTGTAGCTGCATTGGCGCCATATGTGGAAAGCTTCGCTTGTTGGCTGCAGTTTTACTGGAGTTGCTTAAGGCTTTGTTCGTGTTTGGTCATTACATGTATTCTGATTGATTTTCACACAGGAAAGTAACCTATAATTGCTTTTACCCACTAAATGCTTCCTGGTTGGCCAAAATTGACCAGGTTAGGGTAAACTGCAGTGCATCCAAATAAATCTCTAGTCGTTCCAGACTACGTTTGTTTATTTATTTGCAGGATTGTTTATAAATAATAGGTAAGCAAAGCGATATAGTATAGGCCTGTCACCATAACAAATTTTGCTGGGCGATTAATTGTCTCAGAAATTATTGCGATAAACAATAACATTGTTTGAAATTTGACAATTATTGTCAAATTTAAGAAGAAATGTTAGTTAAATTGTTTTAAGTATAGTAC